TCATTTTGTTCTGTTTGGCGCTCACCAGGTCCACCTTTCAGTTGTTACTTTGTTTTTGGGCACGGGAGGGATTTTAACGTTTTAAAGTAAATTAAAATTAACTTAAAAATAAAAACAACTTTTACTTTTGTAACCTTTTCGGCTCCTGTGTCCTCGTTAATATGTTTGATCCACTCGGGTCGTAACAGTGACGTTAACAGTCTGTTGTTCTCTCTTCTATTGTTAGTACAACTTGATTTTCAATATTAAATGTCGGTTCCTGGTCTGATTTTATAAAACGCAACTAAGGCTATGTTCAGTCTGCACCTGAAGTGACCCAAATCCGATTTTTTTGGCCTCTCTGTTCCTGTATCTGATCTTTTAATGAAAGTCTGAACCACACAGATCAGATTTTTTTCAAATGCGACCCAGGACACTTGGATATTGGATATTAGAGCCCGACCGATATGGATTTTGTTGTTGCCGATATGATACCGATATAATGGGAGTTGAAGCTGCCGATATAATCGCCGATATATTTAGTGATGTAAAAATTCACTGTAAATCTTGAATTATTAAAAAAAAACTTAGGTTTGGCTCTGGTGGATTTTAAACTGGGTTTATTTAGGCAACATTTATTGTTATTCTGACTCTTTACATGATATGTCATAGGACTAAAGCAGGACTAAACCAGAACTGAACCAGGACTGAAAAAGGACTAAACCAGGACTAAAACAGATCTAAACTATGTGTAAAACAGGACTAAACCAGAACTTAACCAGGACTGAGTGTCAGGACTCGGTCTCTGTCTCTCTCCCTCTCTTGACCCCAAGATTAGTCCTGGTTTATTTATTTTATCCTGAATATATTTATGCACGTTTTTTTTTTTATCCTATGCACACGCAGATTTCTGAAAGTTTCGTTTTTAGCCGCTGCCGCTGTCAAACTACCACGAGTCTGCACGCGGCGTGAAGAGAAAAAAAGTGAGAGAAAGAGAAAACACGGCTCCAATCCCAATAAGGATCAGGCTCCCGTCGTTCGCTTCAAAGAGCCGGATCTAAGAGCCGCTTCGTTCGCGACCGACTCATAACTCCTAGCTAGTAAATAAACAATCGCTATTAGCCTTTAGCCGTAAATACTGCGCGCCGCGGTAATTAATTATATGCGCAAATTTCATCATTCACACGTCTATTCATAGCAGAGACGCTCGCTGCGGTTGACGTCGTCGTGTCTCCAGTGTCACATGTGGGACACTTTTGGGCCGTTTAATGTTCACACTGGAGACACATACAAGTCACATTTAACTGGAAATGTGAACGACCTCGAAAAAACATCGGATTTCACACAAAAAAATCCAAATTGAGCGTTAAGGCCTGCAGTCTGAACGGAGCCTTATAGTCTGGTGCAATTTATAATCTGGAAAATACGGTAATATTTTACTTTTATAACGCGTTACTCTCAACACCGGTCGAGGGGGAGTTGACAAAATATGTTTGAATGACAAAACTATGAAGCCTTGGGTGGAGGAAGTGTGTGTGGAAAGGGAGGTCTGGGAGTCCCTGCTTAGACTGCTGCCTCCGCGACCCGGCTCCGGATAAGCGGAAGAAAATGGAATGGAATGGAATGGACAAAACTATGAAGAGTTGGGAGCTGACATTCCCTCCTTGAATTGTTTCAGTCAAACCTGAGATGTTCGAGTGGCGGCTTTCAGAGATTTGACGTGGAATGACTCCGTATAATCCAGTGTTATGTTATGAAAAGAATCACGAGCCCCCCCCCTCCTCCTCACACACACACACACACACACACACACACACACACACACGTACTCAGTGTTTTGCGCCGTTGTGTCGCTCTCTGTGTTGTTGACATTCTCAGGTTGTGTGTCGTGAGCGTACAGACAGTATCACGTCTCGCCGCTCCGTCCCTCTCTCATTATTCACAAAGCGGCGCACGTCTGCAGGAGATGGAGGATAAGAGCGGCCTCCAGACGCCTGGAAACTGATAGGACCCGGTGTTTGTACTGTACACACACACGCACACACACACACACACACACACACACACACACACACACACACACACACACACACACACACGCCGTCACGAGGTGCTGCGACAACTACTGCAAAGATGAAGATTCGTGCTTTGGACTGGGCCACATTTCAAACGCTGCTGGACCTGATTTTTACCATCTTAAAAATGAGAAAAACTAATCAGAGTAGAGATTATCACTGACATTTTTAACTGTAATGATTCGTTTTTTCAGTTTTATTTTGTGTTTAAATGAAAAATGGAAAATACGGATTCCCGTTTACGTGACTTCAGTGACTGCGATGCCGGACTTTTGCACCGCATACAGACTGAACCAGGAACAATCCAGGTTTAGGACCAGAGTGGGACCAGAGTGGACTCTGAGCTTTGACTCCGAGTCTCCGCAGGGTCCGAGCCTCAGCTTTGAGCTCCGGCCCTGTCGTGGGCTCTAAACCTCCGGTCTGGTCCCGCTCTGGTCCTGTTCTGATCTCTGTTTGGTCTCGGTCTCAGTCCTGCTCTGGTCCTGCTCTGGTCCCGGTCTGTTCCTGGTCTGGTCTCGGTCTCAGTCCTGCTCTGGTCCCGGTCTGTTCCTGGTCTGTTACCGGTCTGGTCTTGGTCTGATCTCGGTCTCAGTCCCGCTCTGGTCCCGCTCTGGTCTCAGTCTTGGTCTGGTCCCGGTCTGGTCTCAGTCTGGTCTCGCTCTCAGTCCCACTCTGGTCCCAGTTTGGTCCTGGTCTGGTCTCGGTCTGGTCTCGGTCTCAGTCCTGCTCTGGTCCCGGTCTGTTCCTGGTCTGTTACCGGTCTGGTCTTGGTCTGATCTCGGTCTCAGTCCCGCTCTGGTCCCGCTCTGGTCCAGTCTTGCTTCTGGTCTCTCGGTCTCAGTCTGCTCTGGTCTCTGTTCCTGTCTGTTACCGGTCTGGTCTGATCTTGGTCTCAGTCCCGCTCTGGTCCCGCTCTGGTCTCAGTCTTGGTCTGGTCCCGGTCTGGTCTCAGTCTGGTCTCGCTCTCAGTCCCACTCTGGTCCCAGTCTGGTCTCAGTCTCCGTCTGGTCCCGGTCTGGTCCCAGACCTGGATCAGTCCTGGTTCAATCTGTATGGGGTGGGAAAGTTACTAATTATCTTCCATGTAACAGCAACTAGCATGCTAACGTGTCCTTCCTGATTCTCTGACAGCAGACACGTGCAGACCTCCAGAGCTGCTTATACAAGTCAAAATTTACTCAAATATTCTGTGGAAAAAATCGTGTTCAGGGTCTTTAAGCGGGTCACGAGTTACTTTGAGTTATTTATATAAAACGTACAGAATATTATGTCTTTGTGTGAAATGTTCCATAATACTGATAAAGCTTTAAACTTTAGATCTCGGCCTTCGTCACACGCTGGGAAACGGGCACATTTTTTATTTAAGTGCTTTTTCACCTTCGAGGCTCAAAGTGCTTTTATATCCGTTCACTCACACGTTCTGCTGGGGCGAGGGGGGTTAAGTGTCTTGCCCGAGGACACGACGACAGCAGCAGCGTTCATCACAGACCGGACGACACCAGAACACGCGGCGAGAGTCTTGGTGCTGCTGAGGGCGAAAAGGGCCTCAACGAGTCGACTTTTGTTTTAATCGTCATCGTGTTTTCATCATCAGAATTAACGACATTTTTATTTATTTATTTATTTATTTATATGGTTTTATTTATTCATTATTTAACATTGTGCAGAAATTTGGGGCAGTAATAAAAAAAAAAACGCAAAAAACCCCCCCCAAAAAAACACACTGATGAAACTTCAAAGAAAAAAAAAAAAAAGACGAAATCCACAAAACGATATTTTCATGATTTGTTGTGGACACTGTTGGGCGAGTGACTTCAAAACTGTAATGAGTTTTTTATTTATGATTTATTACTTCAGAAGTAAATAATAATTCATAAAGGACTAAACCAGAACTGAACCAGAACTGAACCAAGACTAAACCAGGTCTAAACCAGACTAAACCAGGACTGAACCAGGTCTAAACCAGGTCTAAACCAGGACTAATCCAGGACTAAACCAGGTCTAAACTCATTTTAATTTGACTAGATATTTTTCCAGTGTTGCACCAGAAAAGCTCCACAGTGCAGCTTTAAGCCCAGACAAATCCTTCTGCCCTGCATCTGTGTGTGTGTGTGTGTGTATGTGTGTATGTGTGTGTGTGTGTAGATGTGTGTATGTGTGTGTGTGTGTATGTGTGTGTATGTGTGTGTGTGTATGTGTGTGTGTATGTGTGTGTGTGTGTGTGTGTGTATGTGTGTGTGTGTGTGTGTGTGTGTGTGTATGTGTATGCGTCTCTGTGTGTGTGTGTGTGTGTGTGTATGTGTGTGTATGTGTGTGTGTGTATGTGTATGTGTGTGTGTATGTGTGTGTGTATGTGTGTGTGTGTGTGTGTGTGTGTGTGTGTGTGTGTGTGTGTGTATGTGTGTGTGTGTGTGTGTGTGTGTATGTGTGTGTGTGCGTCTCTCTCTGTGTGTGTGTGTGTGTGTGTATGTGTGTGTGTGTGTGTGTGTGTGTGTGTGTGTGTGTGTGTATGTGTGTGTGTGTGTGTGTATGTGTGTGTGTGTGTGTGTGTGTATGTGTGTGTGTGTGTGTGTGTGTGTATGTGTGTGTGTGTGTGTGTGTGTATGTGTGTGTGTGTGTGTATGTGTGTGTGTGTATGTGTGTGTGTGTATGTGTGTGTGTATGTGTGTGTGTGTGTGTATGTGTGTGTGTGTGTGTATGTGTGTGTGTGTGTGTGTGTGTGTATGTGTGTGTGTGTGTGTGTGTGTACATGTGTGTAATCCGCAGCAGTTATTTCCATCAGACTGTTCATTAGTCGGGGGTTTATGTTTCAGCGTTCACCTGGCATCGCCTGGACAGCTGCGTCTGTGCCAGGGTCGCCACAGGATACGACGGCGAGGGCGAGGGGGGGGCGGCGGGGGTCAGCGGGGTCAACACGTGGGGGGAGGGGGGTCAGATTCTTCTTACCTAGTCCGATGAGGGTCCCGGTCACCCACATGATCTCGGAGATGAGCGAGGCGAGGGAGAGCGCCGCCGTGGGCACCTTCCCGTACTTGATCTGGAACGGGTCCATCATGGTCACGTACTTGTTGTTCCTCATGGGTTCGGCGAAGAACAAACCTCCTGAGGGAGACAAGAGCAGAAGAAGAAGAATCAGAAGAAGAAGTCACGACCTCGACCTCGAACGGGCGCCCGGCCGTGGCACGCGCGCCCTCGTCCCGCCGGGACGGAGCTGGAAGGAATTTGATTGGATAATAAGTGTGTCATGGAAAGACAAAAGAACAACGACGAACGCGAAAGACGAGGAAGAATTCAAAACAAAGGATCAGCCAAAAATGTACTCAAGTAACTGTTAAAGTAAACATCTAAAAATGTACTTGAGTAAAAGTAAAAATCTAAAAATCTACTCAAGTAAAAGTAAAAATCTACAAATCTACTCAAGTAAAAGTAAAAATCTTAAAATCTACTTGAGTAAAAGTAAAAGTAACCATCTTAAAATCTACAAGTAAAAATCTAAAAATCTACTCGAGTAAAAGTAAAAGTAACCATTTAAAAATCTACTCGAGTAAAAGTAACCATATACAAATCTACTCAAATAAAAGTAACCATTTAAAAATCTACTCGAGTAAAAGTAACCATATACAAATCTACTCAAGTAAAAGTAACCATCTCAAAATCTACTCGAGTAAAAGTAACCTTCTACAAATCTACTCAAGTAAAAGTAACCATCTAAAAATCTACTCAAGTAAAAGTAACGATATCAAAAAAATATACTCGAGTAAAAGTAAAAGTACCCATCTAAAAATCTACTCGAGTAAAAGTAACCACCTAAAAATCTACTCGAGTAAAAGTAACCTTCTACAAATCTACTCAAGTAAAAGTAACATCTAAAAATCTACTCGAGTAAAAGTAACCTTCTACAAATCTACTCAAGTAAAAGTAACTATATCTAAAAATCTACTCGAGTAAAAATAACTATATCAAAAAATCTACTCGAGTAAAAGTAAAAGTACCCATCTAAAAATCTACTCGAGTAAAAGTAAAGTTTGGAAAATCTGGAAAGTTCTCAGGACGGCGCTGGAAGGAATTTGATTGGATAATAAGTGTGTCATGGAAAGTCGTTTTGGAAAATAAAAAAACAAAGACGAACACGAAAAACGAAGAAGAATTCAAAACAAAGGATCAGTTTACAAGATTTTCTCTCGTTCTGACGTCGTTTCCTCGTCACAAACTGGAGTCGTGTTTTGTTTTTGTTTTTGTTTCGTTCACACGTTTAACTCACAAAACCTGCACATTTAGACTTTAGAGTTTTTCTCTCAGACTGAAAACACTCTGTTCCACCTCGTGATGTCACAAGGAGAGGAGGAAAAAGGACTGAAAAACTGTAATGAAGTAAAAGTATCTTCATTTTGCGTAATTCCTATTTGAGTAAAAACAAACATTTAAAAATAGATCAGAGTATAAGTAAAAGTAACCATCTAAAAATCTACTTGAGTATAAGTAAAAGTAACCATCTAAAAATCTACTTGAGTATAAGTAAAAATAACCATCTAAAAATCTACTCAAGTAAAAGTAACCATCTAAAAATCTACTTGAGTAAAAGTAACCATCTAAAAATGTACTTGAGTAAAAGTAAAAATCTAAAAATCTACTCGAGTAAAAGTAAAAATCAACTTGAGTACAAGTAACCGTCTAAAAATCTACTCAAGTTAAAGTAAAAATCTAAAAATCTATTCGAGTAAAAGTAAAAGTAAACATCAAAAAATCTACTTGAGTAAAAGTAAAAAAGTACTTCATTTAACGTGTAATTTGAGTAAAAGTTACTTAGTTACTTTCAGTTGTTTGAAGTAAAAAAGGATGAGTCTTAAATCTAATCCAGCACAAGTCGTTTTAATCGACTTTTAGGTCACAGACAAACTTTGAGAGTAAAGAGAGTAAACAGAGTAAAGAGAGTACACAGAGTAAAGAGAGTACACAGAGTAAAGAGAGTACACAGAGTAAAGAGAGTAACAGAGTACACAGAGTAAAGAGAGTACACAGAGTAAAGAGAGTACAAGTAGAGTACAGAGTACAGAGTAAAGAGAGTAAACAGAGTAACAGAGTACACAGAGTAAAGAGAGTACACAGAGTAAAGAGAGTACACAGAGTAAAGAGAGTACAGAGTACAGAGTAAAGAGAGTAAACAGAGTAGTAAAGAGAGTAAAGAGAGTAAAGAGAGTACACAGAGTAAAGTACACAGAGTAGAGTACACAGAGTACACAGAGTAAAGAGAGTAAAGAGAGTACACAGAGTACACAGAGTAAAGAGAGTACACAGAGTAAAGAGAGTACACAGAGTAAAGAGAGTACACAGAGTAAAGAGAGTACACAGAGTAAAGAGAGCAGAGTAAAGAGAGTACACAGAGTACACAGAGTAAAGAGAGTACACAGAGTAAAGAGAGTAAACAGAGTAAAGAGAACAGAGTAAAGAGAGTACACAGAGTAAAGAGAGTAAAGAGTAACACAGAGTAACAAGAGTAAACAGAGAGTACACAGAGTAAAGAAGAGTACACAGAGTAAAGAGAGTACACAGAGTAAAGAGAGTAACACAGAGTAAAGAGAGTAAAGAGTAACAGAGTAAAGAGAGTACACAGAGTAAAGAGAGTACACAGAGTACACAGAGTACACAGAGTAAAGAGAGTAAACAGAGTAAAGAGAGTACACAGAGTAAAGAGAGTACACAGAGTACACAGAGTAAAGAGAGTAAACAGAGTAAAGAGAGTACACAGAGTAAAGAGAGTACACAGAGTAAAGAGAGTACACAGAGTAAAGAGAGTACACAGAGTAAAGAGAGTACACAGAGTACTCTGAGTGAGGCTGGAGAATGTGACAGCTTTACATTGTGGTTTATGGGAAACATTAACAGCAGATTTGAGTCTCGGGGGCCAAGGTCGTACGGAGTTTTTTTTGGGGCCCGTAAAAGTGTCGTCAGGAGCCGAGCTGTTTACCGACGGAAATGTGGTTTTAAATCTATTTTCTAATGTCGTTACCTCCACAAAAACAAACCTGGAGTTGTGTTTTGTTTTATATTTAGGCCTCGTGTGCAAATACACAAAGAGCTCCACTGTGTTTTTAAACTCCATCCACCTTCACAATTAATAATCTGGACGTGTAAAAGAAACAAAACACAACTCCAGGTCTGTTTCTGAGGCGGTAACAACTAGAGCCCGACCGATATATCGGTTGGCCAATATTATCGGCCGATAGAGGCACCTGGAAACATATCAGCTATCGGCCAGATCAGACTGAGACCAGGACTGAGGCCGGGACCAGACCAAGACCAAGACCAGACCAGGACCGAGACCAGGACTGAGACCAGGACTGAGACCAGGACTAAAAACTGTTTAGTCCTGGTTCAGTCCAGCATCAAAGTCACACAAACGGCCGTTATCCCACATTTCACATTTCCAAAGTTACACAAACGCTCACCGCGCTTCACAAATGCAAACTCACTTCAAAACGCTCACTACAAACGCTCACTACAAACACTCACTACAAGCTTCAGAAACGTTCACTACAAACATTCACTACAAATGTTCACTAGAAACGTTCACTACAGCTTCACAAACGTTCACTACAAACGTTCACTACAAACGTTCACTACAAAACGTTCACTACAAACGCTTCACAAACAGTTCACTACAAACGTTCACTACAAATGTTCACTACAAACGTTCACTACAAACTTCAGAAAAGTTCACTACAAACGTTCACTACAAATGTTCACTACAGCTTCAGAAAAGTTCACTACAAATGCTCACTACAAACGTTCACTACAAACGTTCACTACAAACGTTCACTACAAACGTTCACTACAGCTTCACAAACGCTCACTACAAACGTTCACTACAAACGTTCACTACAAACGTTCACTACAAATGTTCACTACAGCTTCAGAAAAGTTCACTACAAACGTTCACTACAAACGTTCACTACAAACGTTCACTACAAACGTTCACTACAGCTTCACAAATGCTCACTACAAACACTCACTATAGCTTCAGCCTGTGTCACAATGCTTTGATATTAGACTCCAAATTCTCTCCTATAACTGCTAACGTCATTGAGCTTCACTCGGCTGGAACACTGTGAATGACGTCACACTTCTGTCTAATATTTTGTACACACTGTACATCGAAACTTTTCCTGGTGCCAGTTTTCGGCCTGTGTTTTATTGGAGGGCAGTGTAAATAGTGGTCTGTGTGTGTGTGTGTGTGTGTGTGTGTGCGTGTGTGTGTGTGTGTGTGTGTGCGTGTGTGTGTCTGTGTGTGTGCGTGTGTCTGTGTGTGTGTGTGTGCGTGCGTGCGTATGTGTGTGTGTGCGTGTGTGTGTGCGTGTGTGTGTGTGTGCGTGTGTGTGTGTGTGTGTGTGCGTGTGTGCGTGTGTGTGTGTGTGTGTGGCACAGTGTAGGGGTCCAGGTGGTGCCCGTTGTTGTTGTGTAACAGGTTCGGGCACATGCTGCGCGGTGGTGGCGGGTGGGCGGGGCTTGTGTGTTTACATGTCAGCTTCGTGTTGAAACGGCCTCACCTGCTCCACGCTCCGCCGCCGCTCGATCTTATCACGCTGTTATTTTACCAGAACAATGAAGGACATGTTTTTACAACGCATTATTACAACTCATCTAAAGCCGTACTATGTCACTTTCCATTTTCTGCCTAGAATGTTCCACAGTGTGACATTAAACAGCTCCACTTTACGTTTATTCAGTTACAGGTGGTTTTAAAGCTCAAAAATACCTCGAAAAACAAACATTCTGACTGTGAGCGGGGGTTGCCTCTCCGCAGATCTGACCTGTAACTGTGCCTGGTTTGGTCTCCATGAAGACAGAAATACCATTTAATGCCATACTGTGGAACATTCCAGACAAAGCAATAACATGTCCATGGAGAAAAATATCTAACGTACCCTCCACCACAATTTCATTTAATTTCTTTCACCTAATTTTATTGTATTTTATTGTATTTAATTTAATTTCATTAAATTTTGTTGTATTTAATTCATTTTATTTTGTTTTTTAATTTTTTGTTGTATTTTATTTCTTTTCATTTTATTTTATTTAAAAAAAAATCTATTTAATTTAATTTA